GGGGGGGGGGGGGGGGGTGACGTTGATCTCCGTCTAGGAGACATCTGGCCGTATACACATATATATATATATGTATACATCTATAAGTGTTCGTGTGGGTATTTGATGGCGTTACGCCGACGGGAAATCCATTTGAAGCGACGGATAGGGACCGTGCGAACAGAGTTACCGGCGGCGTTGTCGTGACGACCGTCGGAGACGCTTGCGCGCGCGCACTGTGCGATAATGCATAATACACTATGGCATACCTTGTGCAACCGCGTACAACCCCTATCGCTGGCCACGATTAGAGTGCACTCCGTAAACATAATCCTGCAAAGTTCGATTGTGGTCACACGGCTGTCGCATTTTGGTAGGACGGTTATTGGTATTCAAATATATTTACGTTTATATTACTGCAGCTATACATAGGATTTTTTTGAATGACACTGCTTAGGCAACATCATATTCTTGATTTCGCGACACCATTAATTAATATATTGTTAATTATAATTACCTACCCTAAAGGAATAAGTAGGCATCAATCCACATGGATTCGCGAAAACGTCAAAACCTAATAAATAGTATTAAAGTTTCCAAATAAATAATATTATATTATTAAAGGTACCTGCTGGGTTTAGGATTTTATTTTGATTTATGTTTCTTATGATAACGTAATTTGAGTTTTAATTAAGACTAGTTTTTGCACTATGCATTGTAGCCTGTAGGTAGACACCAACCAAAAGCTTAAAGTTATGTTCCATACTAAATCTCAATAAAAATCAATCTTCTTACAATGGCCAAAATATGAAATTTAAGCGAATTGATCAAATATGCAATTGAATACAGTTTCCAAACCAAGTGATCGGTATCTGTACAATGTACATCAATAACCGAGTAACCGACACACCGTTGTTATAATGATAAAATGTTTATAATATTCTTTAATATAATATAATGTGTTACCTATGCAGTACACTCAAATTCGGCGGCTTATGTCCGTTATTGTAGTTTGGGTCAATGCCACCGCACAGGACGCAGTAGCAGGCACCATCGGAGATCGCGTGCACAGGGGCTGTTCAAATTCGTATTTTTATTTTCACCCTACTATGTTTTCCCGCAGGTACGAGGTACCTTCTCAAAACCCGAGGCCAGGCTGTGTTTGTACGCTGAATTGATGTAGAAGATATAATATAATATAGTGCAGTACTGGCAGTTTCAGATACGTACAGATGTTAGTACCTGTATATTATTATATATAGCTGACAGTTGGCAAACAGTTTAGCAATTTTTACTTAGGTAGGTATATCGCAGGGCAATCGAAACAGGTGTGGGCAATAGTGTTGGAGAATTTTGGAGAATTTCGAAAGCCTAGATTCTGGTACAGGCGTCTCTTATGATATTCAAGTCATAGCAAACTATTAAAGACCGAATAGAGGGTGAATTTCCTAACTTTCTTTTTGACTCTATAGTTAAAAAGGTCTGTGATTTTTTTTATGCCATGAATAACCGTTGAGCACTATATAGGCACGCACTATGTTATTTCTCACCATACCTTTATTTTATGCATTCGTATAGACAGGCAGACGTAGGTACCGATGCCAATTAAATTTCTGCACCATATACATTAAGCATAATGTTTTGTCATTAACCTTCTCATTTATCACGTAGACTTACACAAACACGGTTTAATTGTGCATTTTCAACGTTGTATCTACACTTGTGACATGTACTATTTATATGTACACTTTTAAGTCTCGCTATCTACAGTCACTTCAATGTGTACTGAAATGTTAGGTACATAATAAAACCTCATTAAATATTTATATTATTCAAATAGAAATATATTGTTCATTTTTGTCTTAAATAATGATGACAGATTCAACGGCGAACGAACAACTATCAATAGTCTCTACAGTTTATATAGTTTGTTCTTTTGTGAACTTTGTTATTTGGTAGGCACATTTCGAATTCTTAGCCTGTAATGGAAGTTATTTTAAAAAAGATGCTTCAGTCGTAAATCGCAATTTAAAGGGAATAGTAATCGTTATACACTTTTACTCAAGTGTTGTTTCATTTAATGCTGTTTACGAAAATAAACATTTTATTTTAGACAGTAAAGTAACCTACCTATAATAATTTAATAAATCGTTTAGTCGAAAACAATTATTTTGCGGGTTTCCAGAAACGATACACGCGATACCTCCTATACAGATATCTAGTTTAGAGTAGATACGTACATAATGGTAGTATTTTATAGGTTAATTATGAATTTTTTTCGTAAAATCATCAATATCTCCGAGTAACTATGACTTGAGTACTTGACCTCGTAATAAGTGTAGAACGTTTAAGTTTCAACAAATTTTGGACGCATTGCGTGTGACCAACATTTTAAGGTTCCTAGATAGAAATAGTTATTATCTATATATACCACCGGGAAATACCTTTTGGTTTTTTTTTTAGCCAAGACATCAACATTCGAATTTAATTAATATTTTTAAAATTGGTTGTAAACTTGTATTTTAGGTATGAAGTAGTAACTATCTACATTGTAGTTAATTCGGTCTTTCTTAAAGAGAAACATTGACTATAAAGAATAATATTATCGTTTTGGGAATTTCGTTCAAAATCGCAAATGACTGGATGGCATGTCGAAAGTTAACTAATAAAAACGAATATTATAGGTAGGTCTAGGGGTTATATGTATCTGCAATTCAGAATTATTTGTACTTAAAAATAATACCTATATGACTCTATTTAAACATCGTCAAACTTACGGTTTAAATATGTATTATGTTTTCAGTACCTGCCTACCTACCATGAAGTAATTCATATTTTTAATTCATACATTTTAATCTCATTATGAACAGATACAATTTCAATTAAGTTCTTGAGCAATTAGTGGGTAGTTTTCTATTACGTGATCTACCCAACCGAACTTGTCATAATGTTGACAAAAAATATACTCAGTAGCAACTCTCAAAATAAACGAAGCTGCCCGGGTTTATTCACATTAATATCATATTTTATGACTTTTGACATAAGTTCATCATCAGATTGATTTGGTTTGTTGTCTATGTAAAATATAATTTTCAGTTTGTTTGAACTTTTAAGTACCCACCTGTGACGATAAAGAGATTATTTATGCCTAAGACGACAAACGTTTGTAGTAAATTGTTTAATCGACTGCATGGTATCTCAGTTCACTAAGTAAGCATATTAGGTAGTAAGTACACATCTTCGTTGATGACATAATTGAGATTTCAGTTGACTCAAAATGTTTCGTTTCATCTTTTCTTAAGTTGCCTTATTAGTAATAATATTACAGACTTTAGGATTTTCAATTTGATATAATGTATAACATTAAGCATTTTTAACTTTCGCAGAGTCAATTATTAAAGTATAAAGAGAGTGAAACACATTTTAATATTATAATAGTTAGTATTTTAAATAATTCATTTATTTAAAAATATGACACATCAAAAGTAGTAAGAGGACGGTTTCTTCGTTTCTTTGGATTCAGCGGCGACTATTATGCATACAAGGTCCCTGAAAAATTCATAAAAAGAAATGCACAAGCAACAACAACGTACAATAGAAAACATTTAGTTATAACAGCAATAGTATTATATAGTTAACAATTATATAATCAAATAAACTGTTTTATCGTCGATTGAAATCTTCTGGAATAAAATATATCATTCTGTTATACAATTTATTTTACATTATTTACACGAGTATGACAGCCCCAAATTGTTTGATGTTATTAGTTATGTTGGTCTGCAAGGAGAAACAAATTCAGCAAATGAACTTGAACTTACCATTCATATAATTTATGAATTCGTTGTTGGATATTACAAAAATATGTTTAAGCAGGTACACTGTACAGATCATCATATAAACAAAACCTATATTAGTAGTTCAATGATGATTATTATCATATAGATAAAATATAATATGATTTAAGAACGCTAACAGATATTATAGCGTTGTTATCAATATATATCTAGGTACGTTGATTGAAGTGTTAACTAATGATCTAAAATAAGGTATGAAGTACCACACAATATTATGATTGCAATAAAAAAACCACATTTATGTATTTTGTATGGGGTAAAAAATGTATTTTAAAGTAACTTTTTCGAACTAACAGAAAAAAAATAGTAATAATAATAATAATAATAAATACAACCTCTAATCACATCATCTACGCCTAAGCTAACCACAAATACGAATATATATATATATATATTATATATATATTTATTGATTCTAGGCGACTAACCAAACATGACTAGACCTAGCCTAAAAAAATTGTTGTACAAAATTTACACACGTTATATCGATTAAATACACGTCTAAATATATCTTGTTATATAAAAAATAACATATCGATTTACATTGTTAGACAGTCATGGTTTAGGTGCTACTCGTATACTCACTAATGATGTTTCGTATTAATTTATTATTACAAAGGAAGACTTACAAAGACGAATATTAAGTTTAAATAATATGTCACGACATCTGATATATTAATTAAATCCGTAAATAATTAGTAAAATATATATACTGATTAAAAATAAGACTAGATCAAAAAACGACTAGTACAAGGTTCAAATATCACAAATTTTACATATTTCAAAGATCGTATTAATAATAATAATAATAATAATAGTAAAAAAAATGTTATATATATATTATAATATGTATAATATATATATAAGTACGTAAATATCTTACAATTCGTATTATTCCCGTGAACGATATATATATAAATGTATATATTATATATATTATACGTATTATAAATATGCCTAATTTTTAAAATCGCTATAAAAAAAATACACGATGAACGAGAAAAAAATGTCTAAAATATTACTTCCGTCCATTACATTATATATAAATATATATATATATTAGGTACGTAAATATAATAAATTAATATGTTTAACTAAATAGGTTTTTGTACGCTATGCCACTAGTTTGGCGTTTAAATACTAAGTGTTTATACATAAATATATATATATTTTTTTGTATGAATATATAATGTATAAAAAAAATTGATACACCTAAATATTAATTAATTACACGCTAAACTATTTGAGCAATATATAATAATAATAATAATAATAATAATAATAATAATATAATAATAATATAATATAATATAACATCATTTTATTCATTTTTTTTCTCAGATATATAGGGAAAGGACGTGAATTTCGATTTTTCTCCGTAATATTACAGTATACACGAGTGAAATTGAATAAAATTCATAATACTAAAGCGCACAGAAAAGTATGTGAAAATAAACTAGCACAGAACTAAATGTACCTAATATATAAATGTATAGATACAAGTCCCGTTGTTAGACTATATTAACATAAATAATTATTAATTTGGTGTTAGTATTATATAGATATAATATGTATATGTCATGTCTACGTAGATACTACTTCCAACAACGGTGGAAAAACATGCAATCGGCATCAACTACGATTTTTTAACGAGCTACGGATAGTAGAAGTATAATATATAGTAATATATTATGTTAGGCCGGGTTTGAAAAAAAGAACAATTCTACTATCAATTTTTTTGATTTATAGTGCTCGTCACTTTTCACTTTTTTTTTATAGTATATACAAGCGATACACCGCTTCGCCAAAGGATCTGTTGGACAGTGGTTAAGTTCTCATCGGTTTCAAAGACGATCGTTATATTATATACCTCGCCTTAAACGATACTACGGCGGTACGCTGTCCGGTCCTGTTGTCTGTAAGAAAAAAAAATGTATATACCATACTTACCTATGGCACGGTATATGGTTATAAGATAATATATGTCGCGGGAGACCGAAGTCGGCAGCTGTCGCGGTCGAAGTTGTCTTCGTCGTTGTCGTCGTAGAACTAAACACAAAATCGTACACACACCCATATAACAATCGGTCACTAATTTTTTCCATTTCATTTTCCGCCAAATTCGCAGTAATACGCTTCTAATATTATGTTATGCGTAGCTGATATAGATTTTATTATTGTGATACGAGTCTACACAAAGCGCCGACTAATGATAATAATAATAATAATAATAATAATAATATAATGTATTTTATGTACTGCAAACGTTGTTAATATTATTTTCTTTTCTACAGGTGAAACGGCCGCCGATGTCATGTCTCCAGACACCGCCAGTCGTGTGTTCCACACGGAATAATAGTAATACTAATACAAATAACAACGATTAGTAATAATAAAATATTACAAATCGTTATTGTTGTATCATTGCTAATGCTTGAAGTCGTGCGATAATACACGGGCCACATAAAATACAAGGCGACGAAACAACGGTACATTATTTTCTACGCCACACCACAACCCGTTACCACAAACTCAACAGTTATATATATAGTGAGTAAAAACAAAAACAAATTTAAAAAAAAATTCTAATATCGCACCAGCCGAAAAAGTACTTAAATATAATATTGTTTTGTATTATATTATATTGTCATAAGTATATATTTTTTTTTGCCGTTCTCGTCGGTTGTATACCCGAGCGATACTGTCGAAAATAGGCAGAGGTATACAAATGTGTATTATTAAATAACAATTATTAAATGATGATAATATTGTATACGTGAAAAAAATTAAACTATTTCGTTCAACACGTTCTGTCAAACCAAAATGTCGTTTTCATTTTTTTTTTCGTCTGCTAGCAGCATATTACATATTATAATACAGTGCAATAATATGCAACTGCACATGATATTATTGCGTATTGTACTGTTGGCAATAATAACAACAATAATACGACTGCGTATCAATATAATATGTACGTATGTCGGGGTTAATTTCAGCGGCACGTAATTGTACTATTATTATTACGACTCAGATATGTATGAGTCCATACTCAGCAGTTGTTTACGTATTATACTATAATATATATATATAAATATGTATGTTAGGTGTATATATGTATACTGTATTCTTCTAATGGGTTAGTAATATTTTTAACTACTTCAAACAACAACAACAACAACAACAATAATAACAACAGCAACAACAACGGTTAGGGTTAATAATGATAGTAATATATCACTCTACTGTCTAAATAATAATATTATTATATATAGTCCGTGTACAGACGACTTCTATATAATAAAATAATTGAATATGCATGTGGTGTGTGACACGCACACATAACCACACATACTCGATTGATGCTGGAATGAGGAAAGGGTGAGGGGAGAGGGAGAGAGATGAGCCTCACCCCTGCGGAACGCGGACGGACCATACGCGGTGATATCACCTACATATCACTCGCGCGGTCGTACTCATGCAATATATTATTATATTATGTATGTATAGTACTGTATTAGTATTTAGGTAATAGTATATATATATATAAAGATATTTATATTATAACAACATTACGGTAGTGTGGTGTTAGGATGACAATATAAGATTGTTTTTCTTTTCACACATGATTATTTCTTTTTCTCAAATATATATGTATATATACATAAATATGTATACAAATATATGTATGTGTATATATATATATATATATGGATTAAATAATAATGATCTAGAAAAAAAAAACAACTCAAAAATTAAACTGAAAACTTTTAAATTAAATAACCAAAAGCGGATCGGTCGGATTTTCTACTGACAAATACTACTTTTATTTATTTCCGTTTTATAATGTAAACAACACAGCATTTTTAAACATTTAACTACTAGAGTGCGTAAAGAACTAAATTGTTAATAAAAAATAATAATAATAATAATGATAATAATTGTAAATAATAAAAGAAACGAAGGATCCACGTATATAGAGGTATCTAATACTACTGTTAATAATTTTTTTTACGATTTTTCATCTATACGTAGGACTACACACGAATATATAGTAGAGAACATCTACACAGAAACTAAATAAATTGATAATAATAATAATAATAATTTCATCTATACGTAGGACTACACACGAATATATAGTAGAGAACATCTACACAGAAACTAAATAAATTGATAATAATAATAATAATAATAATAATAATAAAAAAAAAAATGTCAAAAAGTGTACACTTAAATACTTCTTACAGCTATATATTTTTTTTTAATAATAAATAGTAGTTAATAATATTACTCTACAAAAAAAAGTACTAAACTAAAAAATACTGTTAAAATACACACCAAGTCTAAATGACTTCGACATTAAAAAATATACACCTAGAATAGGTTTAAATGTACTAAAAAGTCTAGGTCTAGGATACGACACAAAACCGGAGTATGTAAAAGCATCGCTAACCCTCTTCGTATAATTGCTTTGTCTTCCTTTTTATTAACTCTCAAAATATTACAAAAATAGAGGGCTTACCACTAGAGTAAAACTATACTAAAAAAGATTTAAAAAAAAATATATATAAATAAACAAAGAGATCAATAACCTTTTAAGTATTATTGCTTTACATACATATAATAATGTTCTAATTAGTATTGTCCAGTCGAATCAGTGCTTTTCGTAACTTTTACTTGTTTAATTCTAACAAACTAAAAACTAAAACGCGCTGAAAAATTAAATTATTATATTCATAGTAGATAATATTATATGTTTTAACTCTTTTAGTGTCTAACTAAATATTGAACTCGTGAGATTTTCATTACTTAGACAATAAAAAAAAAAACAAAAAAAACAATGTACGATTGATCACTAAGGCGGACAGCTAAAATTAAATTGTTGAACAACTCCAATGTCTTGTTTTCTACTGATTTAAGTATACAATAAGTAGTGAGAAAATAAACAAAAAAATATATACATGTCATAAGAATTATTGTTTTTTGTTATACATTTTCGTACTTTATGTTTTCTCTCTAAGTTAAACTACTATACTATAGCGAGTTAGTAAATCTGATTTTAAAGAAGCGTTTGATATAAGAAGCGAAAGATTTATAATTATCATGTATATGCATGTATACACATATATACAAAATTTAAATACACGTATACATGCATAAAGAGAGAGAGAGAGAGATATATAGAGTGTGAGAGAGAGAGAATGAAATATAGAGAGAAAAGAGAATATAATTTATGAAATGGTATTTAAAAAAAATTGTCATGATGTATGCTTGTGAGCTTTGGTCCTTAATGGAATGTATTTTCTCTACTGATCATTGGAATTTTTTTATTAAAGAGCAAAATAATACATTAACTAATTAATTACACGTTATTTAGACACTAACCACACTACTATTAGAAAGTTGAGAAATATTAAAAATTAATAATAATTATTGATAGTAATAATAATAATACATAAAAAAAAAAAAAATAATAATTAATTAATATTAATGATAACTGACTAGAAATCGTTAGTTTAATCCGATGAAAAAATAACTCACGACAATGAGGCAGTGGTATGGCACACGCGCGGATTGATCTCCGAAGATCTGGCTGTCAGCCTCGTCGATTTTGAATAAAAAAAAACAAAAAAGATAATGAAACGCGGTTGGGCATGGGTGGGGATGAGGAGGGTTTAGATAGGGTTTTGTTGGGATTTTTTTTTAGATTTTTTTGGTTGAATATTAAAAAAATAATTTCAATGATAGAATGTATCTGAGCAACAAGAGAATGTTTTTCGTTTTATTTTTTGTTCGGTTTTCTCATTTACGCGAAAAAAAATTGACCTGACCAACACACAACATACAAACAGCACAGGACGCGCGCAATAAGGGTTGAAATGGGCCTAAACGTACATGCCGCCCATGCCATACATGGACGACCAGTCGATGCCTTGGAAGCCACTCATGTCGATGCCGGACAGGCTGTAGGCCGGATATGCAGCCTGCGTGGCCGCGGCAGCTTGTGGCACCGGCTGTGGGGCTGCGGCTGCTGGCTGCGGGGCCGCGGCTGCGGACACCGGCACTGGATACGGGGCGTAACGGTAGCTGGCCAGTCCTGGGTACGTGGCGAACAACTTGTTGTAGTTGTGAGCGGCCACCGCGGCCGCGGCGGCTTGAGCCTGTGCCTGGGCCTGTGCCTGAGCTTGTTGCACTGCTGCCAGTTGGTGGCTCGCCTGTGACACCGGGGCAGCCGCCACACGGACGCCCAGCGGTCCACCGACCAACACAGGGCGCTTACCCAACAACAGGCCTGCGGCGGCCGCGGCCGCTGGCTGAACCAGTTCCTTGGGCTGCGCCTTCTTGCATTCCACCTTCTTATTCTTGATCGTGTGGAAGTGGATCTCGCATATCGTGTCCACTATGTCATCATTCTCGAACGTGACGAACCCGAAGCCACGGTGACGCTTAGTGTGCTGGTCCATCAGCATCACTGTTTCCTCCACCTTGCCGAACTGGCTGAAGTACGCTTTTACCTCGTCAGCGGTGGTGTCCTGGCTGACACCACCTACGAATATCTTCTTGGTCTTACTACCAGCCTTCGGACGATTCTTAGGTGTCGCGTGCTTCGGGTCGATCTTCTTGCCGTCCAACGTGTGTATGGGCACGGCTAACACCTTCTCTACCGTTTCTGCGTCAGAAAACGTGATGAATCCAAAACCACGACTCCTCTGCGAGAAAAAAATCAAAAATACAATATAGTCGTTGCATTTTATTTGTGGAACAAACATAATGATATAATAAAGGCTTTCCGAGTTTAAAATTCTTACCTGCGTGATGGGGTCCTTCATGATGAGCACGTTGGTTACATCACCAAACATGCCGAAATACTGTTTGAGCTTGTCGGCCGACGTCTGCCAGCTGAGCCCACCGACAAAGAGTTTGGCCGACGTACCCTCGGTACTGCTGTTAGGCGTCGATCGGCCACTGGGCGATGGCGCCGAAACCATTTGTTCGACTACCACGGAGCCATTCTGCTTGCCGCCGCCGATGATGGTCTGTTGCTGTAATTGCTGTTGCTGTTGTTGCTGTTGCTGTTGTGCGGCCACCACAGCCGCGACGTCTTGAGCCGACTGGTTGCCGTTTTGCAGCGGCGAACCCGACTTGTTGGCCGCCGACACCGCCGTCGGTTGAGGCTGAGCGATTTTTACCAGACCCGGCAGAGGTCCGCGCACCGACTGGTGGTGTGGGTGCAAGGCGAGCGGCACCGGTGCGGCGGTCATCGGCTGCGGCATGCCCATGCCACTAGCGGCCAACATGCCGCTGAAGTCAGCCGCGTGTTCGGCCAACGTAGCCATTTGATCCACTCCCAAACTATATGGAAAAAAAATGTTGTGTTAAATATAAAAAAATTGTAATGACGTTAGGCCGTGAGCGCGAATTATATAATTTTTCGTTTTGCGTTTATAATTATTATTAATGGGGTTTTTTTTTGTATGTCTACAGGTGAATAGTTGTGATCGTATAGTTTATTATCAACGCAAGAAGTACGGATAATAAACAGCAATATTACGGCGACATACAATCATTACCAACAACAGCTACGTCACAACAACAACAACAACATAAACGGTAAGTCTACACAAACTTTGCTCTAATACGTAAATAATAATATGTATAGTAAAAAAACCAGCTAAAAATCGTTAATATAACAATGTCATTTCACGTATGTGTGTTTCACAGGGTTTGGCAGACTACAAATAATATACGAATGCGGCATGCCGAGGAGAGACAGCCATCGATGAAGTACTTTTTACGTCAACAACGTTTAATGGATAACACTCCGATATTGTCCTGTCACAGCAGTAGTGAGTATCTGAATCGTACTGCTGTCGCGGGACATTTTCGGAGCTGTCGTCCGCGCGAGCAACATTCATCTCTCAATGATGCATACCAACGACAACGAACAACATAAATCGCAACAACGGAATTCAGTAGAAGAAATAAGAATCACATTTAGTAATATTCGTAAGAACGAGTGGAATTTTTTTTTAATTGAATTGTTCATTTTTTTTTTATCGAAATCGTCGAGAAACAAACATATGGATTAAAATATGGTTTTACTGTGCCTACTCAATATACAAACATATTTTCGTTTACAAATTGATACGTTTAAGTTTGTGTAAGATACTATACAATATTTTTGGGAACACCTAGTCTCAATGTTAATCGCTCGAGCATTCATTGACTATTTTGGGCTTCCAAGTTTTTAAATATTAAAGCTTATACTACTATTCAATGATGCATTTCCTTAACATGATTATTTTCGGTTTATAATAAATTGTTGAAAAATAATATTATTTTTTTATGAGGTTTTGTGAGAAAAATAAAATTGTCATGATGACAATACATTATATAATTATAGTTATTTTTTCCTTTAATTTAAGGGGTGAGGTGGCAAAGCACTCCTAAGGGTTTAATTACTTACAAAATGTAAGGTTGCCAGAATATAAAATATTATTGTGATTGTACCTACCTACCTATTTATCTTTTAGTATTTAACTATTTTTGTATAGATATATTGTATCAATACATTTGTCTGTGCCAAGACAGTTTTAAATATTGATAGGTACTGTACTACTGTTGTAAGAATGTAAGATATAATGATTATATAATATTATGATTTATTTTCAAATTTTTGAAACTACAAGCCGAATGTAACAACAACAAATCTTGTAACTTTTTCTTGTTTGTTACAATAATTTTATTGTGATTTATTCGATCACGTATTATATTTTAAGGATTAGAAATCATTAAGCACCGTTACTTGGTAGTATGTGTTTTCATAGTAAAAGTATTAATAAGTAATATTCTAAAGTATATTAATATATTATAAAGAAGGTAGTATTAAGTTTTGTAAATTGTATTGATATTAAAGGTAACAACTATGCTGAGACTTCAAATATTAACAGCACAAATACACATTATAGAATATGTTAACTATGGTATTATAGTTTGTCAATGTGTAAATAACCAAATAAATACTTAAACGATTGTAGGTACAATAGGTACGCATATTATTTAAGTGTAATATAGATGTATCTTAAATTCTAATTAATATTTAGAACATGAAGTATTGATCATATATATTGATTTAATATTAACTATGTTTTTTAAATATTATGTAGGTATACAATAACGTTTTTAACAAATCCACGTAAAGAAAAATGTACCTATACAACTTAAATATTAGTTTTCAAAATGATTATGGTAGTATATATATTATTATTTAGATAGAGCATTTAGAATTGAATGAAAAATTATGTGTTTGAAACTTTTCAATAGCCAATAATAATAATTAAGACTATTTTGTATTAGTGTATAAATAATATGTTAGTTCGAATTCATTTCTCTGAACGAGGTTTTTATAATTATTTTATGCCGTTTATACTTTTTTATAGAATAATAAAAGGAGTATTAAATAAAAGTTAATATCTTTACACTATTCGTGTATACCTAATTCGCCAACAATAAAATAATAGAAAATAAAATGTTAACAGTTTATATTTATATGGCATTATGGAGCGTGGATTGATGTCGAATCACGTGTTCAGTTATGACACGATATAGTATAAAATACACACAATAATTCACTTTGAGTTTTGTCGGCCAATTAAATGTTCTAATAAAATGTATAAAACTGTAAACCTACTGAGTGCTGTGTAAGTAATGAATTAGCCTAAGTTGAATTACGGTGTAATGAAAATATGTATCTGAACTTATTTATGGCCAGTAATAATATTTATAGAGTATAGTAGTATAACACCGTAACGATAATATATATATATTATGGTACCGTACAAGTAGAAGTAAAGTACAATAATAATTAAAAGCCATTAACGTTGGCAAGTCAAATTGAGCACGGAGATTAAATTGAACGCAAACGATTTAAATGTAATTTAACAATGAATCATACTAAATAGTAAATTTGTCAATGGGACCAGACCCATTACAATAGGCAATAGGTATATCTTAATTTTTCGCACAGTCTATGTACGAAAACAAAACAATTATTACCCTGATGATTTTACGTAAGTGAGTTTATGTTTGTATTGTATTTATAACCATGTGACGCGAGATTTTATTTTTAAATGTCTTGTACGATGCTATTACAACATGGGTCAGGCGGATACACGATATCGTTTATTATATATTTTTTACACGTTTAAACGCAGAACATAAATTGATAACATTTAGTTGTAGACACTAGACACTCTCATTCTTTGTACATTAATCATTTTGATATATTATATTTATTACTTAAATGCCCCCTTCCCCTAGCATCCGTCTATTCGGAACTTGGCCAAAGCACCTATACACAACTTTGCAACAAAGCAAAAACGTATTAATCATCAGTCGCAGTCAATGTTAAACTTAATAGACTCTAGTATAGTCGTATACTATTGTGCTTCACGAATTAATTATCACGATTACAATGATACAACTTGAGGGTATTAAGAAAATCAATAACTCCATGATGACACGTCAGACCAGACCATTCAAACTTTTTTAAGTTTATCACCCCAGTCATGTTTTATAAAAACGTATTCCGTCATTATTTTTATATACATGTTGATACATAAAACATAATATAAAATTATTTCTTATCTTTTTGTCACGTTCAAACTGTAGGTACAGTTTTTCAATTAACTTGGTGGTCGTCACTCGTCACGTAGAGCAATGAATAGAAAAAAAATTCTATACAACCATTTTCATAAAGGCTGAAAAAAATTTAATTTAATCGACAACAAAATAAAAATAAAAACACTTTGACCAAGAAAAAGAAACGGAAATGGCAAACGCATTTTGACGTCGAAAAGGAAATATAGTTCAAAATTATTAATACTTCGATACGTCCCAACAAACCCGAGACGTCAATGATTGCGTTTAAATCAAACGAGACCAAGATAAAACAAAAATTGAACGTTTTATATTTTACACTTTAAAATCAATAAATGTTATTCAGTATGCAGAGCTGACATTGTGTTATGAGGGGAGGAGACGGATGCATTCCGTATTCAAGATGGTACATCGAAGAAAAAATGCAAACTGACTACTAGGAGAAGAATGATAGATATACGAACTAGTTTCAGGCTGGTCACTGTTTTTTTTTTTTAAATCAAAATACGACGATCGATCATATTTCTATATTGAGTAAAATGCATTGTTTCGGTTTTAAGCGTAAAACAACAAAATGTCATTATTATTTCTTAATAATTGCTACGTTCCCAAAAGTGCAATAAGTCTTGAAATATTTTAATTATATTTATATTTTATTTAAATATTAACATGAATATTTTAATCAATTATTCTTAATTATTTAATCAGAAAAAAATTGATACTTTCTGGAAAATTCAATACATTTCAAATATTAATTTGTTAAAAATTAAAATTTAAGTTTAGTAAACTTATACCTATGGTAATATATTTATTATAATAGTTACTACTATAAATTATAATTACTTCAACTTCTTCACACATTAGCATGTATAATTAGAAATAAAATTTTATGTGTGTTTTCGTTGTATAAAGCTGGAATGAAATTTAAATGAAAATTGAATGCGTTGCAAAGAAAATAGAATTTTTTAATATTCTAAAAGGGCAGTGTTTGAAAAATGTTTTAATTTTGTCATTGTTGTAAGATGTAGTAATATTTATAAAATGTTTTTGAACCCATCAAGTTTAATTTAACGGCTGTATATTATAACTATATGAACAGAAGAAAAAAAACATCTATAAAAAACACATTTTATCACGATATGCTGAAATCCAAAGCTACGACTGCGAAAGTGTATATTTCCCCACAGAAGTGTATAATGAAAGTTAAGACTATATTTATGAAGTATCCCTTTCGAGCTAAATTGAAAAAGTAAAATGGTTTTTAACCTTCAGACGTCAGGAATACTTGGCCACGCATATAGTATTAGTGTTAAGAGTTAAAAGTGACGCAGACTCTATTTCATGAATAATTTATTTTTAACAAAAGTATTTGTATATTTGCTTACTAAAATATAGCATTTAAAAATAATACTTTTGATGTAACCCTAGTTAATACCTACATACAGTGATATAGAATATTGCTTACAACACTCCTTACGCACGTCGATCAAATTCATAATAATCGATGTAGGCACAAGATGCGTAATAAACTAATAACCGATGTTTCGGTAGAAAAATCACTTCTTTGCCGCCCCAGCACTAACCTATGGTATAAGAAGCTATATCTGTAGTCGTTGTTAAAATACAATGGTGAAAGTGTACCGGTATTAATATCGTTTTTAGTTTTTATCAACAGCTTTGTCTATCTTATCTTTAGAGCGCACAGAAATATATAAATATAAAATCAGAGCTGAATAACGTACTACAGGACTCGAGATCTGTCACATATAAAAAAAACGCCCGATACGTAAACAATATAGGTCAATTATTAATATTGATAAGATTCAAAGAGTCCTCTGGCGGATAATCCACGTCTACCTCCTAATATCATCGCGAATCACATCGGAAAGAATATAATAATCACACAGACGTTTCCAAAACCAAAGCAACCCGCAGATACGTAATAATAATAATTCGGGGAATCTGTCCAGTAGCGAACAGCGCGGTCGGTACTCAGTGGCACGCGCTCAACCCACGCTATACAGTCACGTCTATGTCTCCCCAATTGATTGGCGGCGTGCTGTGCCGATTCCCGCAGTGACGGTCGTGATCGAGTACACGTTTCCACCCTTGTCCGTCGTGTCTTGGAAGAGTTGGGTGAATATTGTTGAGCGAATGGAGCGTTGTAGGTGGAGCTCAAAGCGATGAAGTTTGCATATTTACTCTTCATTTTGTCGAATTTATCAATATTATATCACCACCATACACAATTAATGGTAATACGTGAAATGTGAAAATTTACCTATATTTGTAGTATAAGTAAGTACTTATTGGAGAAACAGCTGCGGAAAAAAATTGATTTTCTGTTCTCTGAAACACTCGGCCGTGCTTTTTTTATTTTATTAAAAACGTCGAGTGGAAGTTATACTATTATGTGTGAAATACGCGCTCCACCCCAACCTCCTACATGCCAAGGCGGTATGGATTCGGGTCGCGAGAGAGCAGGAATGGTGTGGAAAAAAACCGTTCGAGAAAAGTGTGCGCGGCACAGCACTCTAGAACAACGGGCATTGAGGAGAAAATATAACGTCGTCGTTGAAGAGGAGAGACGCGAATGAAACAAGGCAAAGTGAAAAA